TAACCTTCAATATACAAAATTCTCATTTATTGAATTGGTCCTTTCTGACAGAAGAAATCATTCAGGTACCCGGCCAAAGTCGGCTTGTGGCAAATCTACCAGTGGTGGACCTTCGTTCTTGGCCGCGACAAATTTAACTACCAAAGCCAATAAATACGTAGGTTTCGGTTTTTCATTTCGTATTTGGTTTTCTTCCCTTTCTAGAAAAGTTTCAACGTCACTGTCTGCAAGCGTCGATACGAATATTTCTGCTTTTTGGCAGACATAATCTGAAAATATTCTGACAAACGACCTTGGATTGAGAATGGTGAAGGCTTTGCCGTTCATTCATCAACGTGACCAAGTGGCATAAAAGGCGTGTGACTTGTCAGCAGCTGATTGGCGATATCAAACACACGCGGAAAAATATCGTATTTTTTCACGTGCGTTGTCACAGCTTTTTTAAGGGCTGAAAATCCTTGTATAACACCATAGTTTGTCTGATGAATGTATACATTGTATATATTTTAAACTCAAGCGGGGATGACGAGGGGTGATCCTTCTATCTGTATTGCATACACACCCCTTAACTAGGCTAATGACACTCCATAACATTTGGAACAAAATGTTCTTTATTGTATTCAATATTTAAATACAGTTTATTACATGATTGCTTGAAATTGAGATGAACATCGCAGATTACTACTTAAGAATACAGTATACCTCAGAACAGTCTTAAACGGTTTAAATCGAAGCGAGGAATAGCATTGTGTAAGTTACCATGCAAGTAATGTATACTACTACTTGTAGAAAGCGGCACAATAAATCATTAGCTAATAACAGTTTCAAGTTCGTTTTAACTTTTGAGGGGAGAAAGGGTAGTTTCGCGCCTTCATGATTAGCCATTTTCATGGTGTTTGAATTTTAGGGGGTGAGAAGCAAGTCAGTATGTGCCCGGATACCCTGACGAAATGCTGCCAATCGACCTGTTGCAAAGAACGACATAACCGTCTCATAATTTTCGCGCTAACGTTTAAATCTAGTATAACCTTTAATCTAAAACCTGATTGTTCCATTTAGCTGAATATCAAAGTCGTGCGTTTAGTAAATAACCTATAGAAAAATGTATGTGATGAAAGAGTGGTTCCCACCGCAGCTTTAATCTACTTGGCTTTATTTCAAATTTTCAGGTAGTTTAGACATAGTTAATAGAGGGGAATGGTTATGAAGGTCGGCATAAATACGGTATTTTTCCTTGACATCACCACTTCAAATTTAAAATTATAGTTCTAAATAGATCTTTTGAAATTGAAAACTCGACAGAGTTTAAGCCTGTAATTTCCCTTTAAATGGTTGGAAAACTCAACCAAACTCTTTAATCATACTCTTCAATAAATCATAATTTGTATTTCAATCGGGAGGACTTGAGTTGTGGAGGTACGCTATGAGTCTTCTTCGGATTGCATCTGCTTGCTGGTTTGGCAACGTCTGTTGAAGATTTTGGCTTTTCCTGAAGAGATTTGGTGGTTTCGAATGGATACGATTGGTCCATTTGTTCTAGAGAAGTTTTCCTTTGCGGCACATCGGCGACGACTGATTAAAAGAGACTACATTTTTCAGTTTCGATTTGTGGTGCTGTTTGCCCAGCCAGACATATCGACTACACGTGTTGAAACTCAAGTGAAAACCATACACAGAGAGTTTGATATTTATTGTGGTAAGAGGGAACGAAATGTGGGAACGTTGATTGGCTGAAATGTTCCTTTTGTTATTGGCTAGTTGTTGTTTCCTCTGCAGTAAGTTGTTGTCGTTGGGCAAGACAGCAAGACGGCTATGTGCCGTTCTCAAATGGGAAACAGCTTTTTAAAACTGTAAATCGAAAGAAAAAGTTCTAAGGAACACTCGACATCTTGAACAGTGGAAATCAGTCTGTTTATAGCAAATAGGTCTCTCTTCAAGGACAGATAACGGTTTTGACCAGACGGACAAACAGGTGCGTTCGCGTATCGCTACAAATTAGATCATCGCAAGAATTATAGATTTTGTCTGAAAAGTTTGGGAAGCCACCTTGCAAAAACTTATAGGTATGAATGTCAATTTTTGCCGTGCTTTATCTTTAACTGATCGATTTGCTGTATCCGAAGCAAGTTTAGCAAAAATTGCCAAAAATGTGCTTATTTTGATTCAATTAATTCTGCTCCAAAACAATTCAAAGTGATTTGCACTGACTCCGCTTTCGTTTTCGTCATTTATGTACGTCGTGCGTCAAAACTTTAATTTTATTACCCGCCCCCGGGGCAGTACAGTCCTTGAAAAATCACAAATGCGCTATGTTCACCAAAATATATTTGAAGAATATATTTGAAAACTTGACTGTGCCATGTATAACTAAGTAAATTTCAATCATGTGGATCGATGGAGAGTTGGCGGTACGCTTTCCGCAGATTGCGCTCGTATAGCATGCAACCTCGACCGAGCAAAACAATCAATGGCATTAATAGTGTGATAACTCAGTTCCAGAATCTCTTCAATAAAGTAGCCAGAAGGAATACCACCATTAACTAATGAGCCGCGAGAGCAGCTCAAATCGACGATCACTGTTCGTTCATTAGAGTCACACTTGGCCACCGTGTTGAGTGGAGAAACAACAAAGCTGTCATTAAAAGGCAGTGCTCCAAAAGGTCTTGACACTCAACCAAGGGAAATCTCGGAACTAAAATAGTCTTAAACAGCGGAAGGGAAAGTCAACACGCCGCGAAACACAGGAAGTTTGGTTAATCTAAGCAAATTGCCAACCAAATTCGAAAAAGTCACAAACGACACGGCCCACATAGTCTTGGAGGAAGGCACGCCAGTTAGACGAGAAGGAAGAGGAATACGGAGACAAGTATAATTAAACTGTCCAGCGGAAAAGACAGCACGATGAGCGTTGACGAGACAACTGGTGGCAGGAGAAGTCGCATTATCAAAAACTGACGGTCTCCATTGTGAAATCTCAAGAAACCCATTTTCTTGAGAAGAAAAACTAGAACCGGGACAGTCTAGATTGTAAACATCTAATAGTACAAAAGTCTTGCAATAAAGTCTCAGGAAAATACACTAGAACCACAACGAAGATCGAAACCGGGCACGACCCGAGATTTGGTGTTGTGAAGTCTATGAGGCAAAAAATGGTCTAGTTTTTTCGATGGTGCTGGAAAATCTTTGACGGCCAAAGCTTTTAGTGGGCGATCAGAGAAATTCTCCCCATGCAGCTCCTGCTTTCGAAGACGTGTCCAGCACGATGCACAGATTTGTCACAACCACTAAACTGAACACCTACTTTGACGATCCAATGGGAAGGAACGCGAAACAGTACAAAATCTCTGGTATACGCTTGACGCAACGCTAAATCAAACACGAAACTCCTAGTGCTCGATAGCATTTTTCTTTTTTTTTCTATTTCGGTTCTTGAGAGGGACGAAAGCCCAAACGTTTCGTTTTGTTATGTTTAGCTAAATCTTAGAGCGTTTACGTCCCTGTTAATAGGAGTTGGATAATCTACTAATTGGCTAGTTTTGGCTTCTACTGATTGCGGTAATTTTATTCCTTGGCAGCTCGTAGACTGCCTTATTATATCCAGGATCTCTACACCTAACACGAGTAATAGGGGACCGAGTGGATACCATTGCCGAACTCCCCTTGAGACTTTTATGCAGTTAGTTGAGTAGCCTCCGTTCATTAGCAGCACATCTTGAACAAGGACCATTCTATTGTTTCAAATGCTTCTTCAAAGTCAATGAACATCAGAATTCCTCGTATTTTTTGTCGTCTGTATATACCATTAGATTGTTCAACAATCTGACGTTTTGTCTAGTGAATCTTCCCTTAATGAACCCTGTTTGATCAGGATGAATTAACTTCGGCAGGACTGGTTTAACTCTCTTTGCAATTATCTTTGCAAGAATCTTGTAGTCTACATTGAACAGATTGACTGGACGCTAGTTAGATAATGTAGTCAAATTTTTGTCATCCTTTAGGATAAATGAAAACACTCCTCAGTTTTGTGATATAGACAATGTTCCACTTTCAAATCCTGCATCTAATGAGTCTCAGAGTGCAACACCTATAAGATCGAAGAGGGCTTCATAGAATTCTTTTGTGAAGCCATCATCGCTGGGTGTTTTGTTGTTTTGGAAACTGTTCCAGAGCATTGTGAACCTCTTCAATGTTTATTTCAGCATCTAACTCAAGACTTTCATGCTCTACAAGGGTGGCTGAAGTTCAAATTCCCCACAAAGATTTGAAACTTTCTTGATACATCCCCTTTTTCTCTAAGGTCAAAATTCGTTTTGTACAATTGATTTAATTGATATTCTATTTCTTTGTTTATTTTTTGGGATCTGAAAAGAGTTCTTCCTGGCCATTGTTCAATTTAAGATAATCTTTTTTTCATACTTTCTTTCCTTAAGGTTCAAAAAATATTTTTTAGGCTTTTCTTCTTTTTCAGTCCATGTAGCCTGAGACTTGGATGTTTCGCCCTTGCCATTAACTTCATATATCCCTTGTAATTCTTTCTTTAGTTTTTCATATTCTGTCAAGTAGTGTTGGGCTTGGCAAACGTCATTACAGATTATGAAATCTAATTGTTCTATTCTGCTTTAAATATATGGTATTGTTTCGGATCATATTTCCACTTTTATTCATTTCCAGAGCAATTGTTTATTATATACAGCAGTGTGTTTTTGTAGGATACATGGATAGTAATCTTTCATCAATCGTCAAATAGCATTCGTCCTGGAGAAAAGTGTTATTAAATTTCCATAAGCCGGGGCCGCGCTCAAATTCCCCATTCAGATCAGTGCTCAAAAAGACTGCCTTATGCTCAGGTGCGATTGATTCTCGCGTTTCCACTTTTGTGACATCGTGCTGAAATTTGTCACTTATTAAGAAAAAGTTTAGGCGTGATTTTACTTGGGTTATTTTATATCTTAGTGTTAGAGAAAGTTTCTTGAAAGAGGCAATTATTTGCTTTTGTTGTTTTAAATATGAGAATATCGACCTTTTTTTCTTGATTCCTTAAACTTCTAAAAGTAAGCGTTAAGAATTTCTTAGTACACATTGAAAAAGCAAAAGAAAAAAAGAAAAAAAAAACTAAGCAACACTACAAAATAAGTACCGAACAAACAACACAATTACTTGCGTCTCTGGCCGAAAGCCTACACTCCAAGGTGCTAATTCGAGAGGTTAGATCACAATATACTAAAAAAAGATATCCAAAAATCCAGACAGGTTGTTTAGTTTTCTGATTTTTCTTTTTTCATTTTCAACAATCATGTCTAGAGTTAAAGGGTTCTTAGATCCTCATAATAGTTAATCTTGAAAACTTTTACAGTTCAGTCTGTTTTCAAAACAAATTTTTTCATCCAGTCACGTTTTTCCATTGTGATATTTTTTATAACTTTTCTTGCCTCTCTGAATAGCTCCGCTCTCCATGCATTTAAGTTTTCCTTGGTAAAGATCTCCCCTCGTAAATCATGTAAAGTTGCATTTCGTTGGTTTATCCTGACTTTATAAAGTTGACTTTTTGCGTTGTCATTACTAAAACAAACGATCATCGGTCGCGTTTCGGTTTTGTTTTTTTTGTCACCGCGTGTTAAGTTGAACCTCAGAATTTTTCACAAACTAAAAGCATTCTCAACATTATCTTCTTCTTAGCGTTTGGGGATTTCGTGTATTATTAAGTTAAATTTACGAATATATTGTTCCAAGTCATCATGACTACCTTCAACATCGTCGAGTCTTTGTTTAACTTCCTCCAGCTCCTTCTTGAACGTTAATACTAGTTCTTTGAGGAGTTTTAATTTGCAATCAACAGCAACATTTTCTGTGACTAAGTTGTGTACTAAAATTTATAAGATAAAATGCATAACTAAATTAAATGATTTAAATTCATAATTCACCACAATGTATCTAAATTGATTTAAGAAGTTAGAATAGTCAAAATAACCTGCTTCATTGGTTCGACCGTACAAAGTAAACAATCTAGTTTAAGTGGTTTCATTGGTTAAGTTGTCAAACTAGCAAACGGTCAATGGTCAAACTAGCTTCAATCGTTCAACTCCACAATCTAGCTGAATTGGTCAAAATAGTTATCATTTTTTAACTACTGTAACTTATCCGATTGGTCAAAAGGTCAAACCTTCCAAGACGGTTGACCCGATCAAAGCCTAAATTTTTCATAAATAATCAAACTGGCTTAAATTGTTCGAGGTTCAACTACACACACTCCACAATCTAGCTTAATTGGCTTAGGTAGTTGAAATAGTTTAACTAGTTTAATTGGCTCAACTAGTTAAAGGATCAAATACAGAACTTGTTAATATGGTTTAACTGGAGAAAATGCGTAAATAGCCTAATAAATTGATCTGCACAAACTGTACGAAACTCCATTTTCTTGCGTGTGGTCGAACCATTTAGGCTAATTTGACAATTTGAACTACTTCAACCCATTGTGATAAATGGTGCCATTTGCCCAGTTTAACTGTATTCGCTTTTTTGGCTATTTAACCAATCAGGCTAGATTGACCTAGTTTGACCATTTTAACCAGGGGTGCCGCTCCACATATTTTGCGCATTTTATACTGTTTGGCTCTTTTCAGGTAACTTGAGCATTTTCACCAATTAATGTAGTTCAGGTAAAGTCTACTTTTTCACTAGAGCAATTTTACCTAATTTCGCTTTCGTAAACAGTTGAGTTAGCTAAATTTTGTAGTTTTTAAAGTTTAACTATTCTCGATTGTTTGAGCATTTAAATCAGCTGACATATCTAATTAGTTTGTGCACTTTGTTCATATGAGCCATTGTAGCTTACTTACCGTTTTTTCCCAATTTAGTAAATTCGCCTAGTTTACACATTTTTTAGTAGTTAGACTGTTATCGTTACTTTGACCATTAAAACCAGTTAGACCATTTCAGCTAGATTGCCCTTTTTATCCTAATTAGCAGTTTTAACCAGTTCGATAATTCTAACTAGTCAAGCCGATTCAGGTAGCTAGTGTATTTTTAGTAGTTCTGCTGTTTAAGTCAGTTGGTTCATTTAAAGCAATTTGACCGATTTAGCTAAATTATGCTTTTCGTTCATATTAGCAGTTTTGGTTAGTTGAACCATTTTAAACAGTTAGGCCAATCCAGGTAAACTGTGCAGTTTGTGTACTTTGAACGTTTTCCCTTATTTGATCATTGAAACCAGTTGAACCGTTTCAGCTAATTTGTGCTTATTGCCCACATGAGCTGCTATAGCTATTTAGACAAAAAAAAACAGTTGGGCCAGTTCAGCAGGATTGTATAGTTTGTTCAGTTAAACAATTGAAGCTAGTTTCACCATCCCAGCTACTCAAGTAATAGAAGATAGATCATGCAACTTGTGCAGTTAAGTTTTTTCCGCTAGTTTAACTATCTAACCAGTACATACATACATACATACATAAACTTTATTAAAGTGTCAAGGTATTTAGCTAAAAGCTAATTGTGGACACCATAAAAGATAAAATGAATACAATGTAAGTATATGTAAAAACATTAAAAATATAGTCTTAAAATATCATCTATATACAAAATGACATCAATATATAAAATTTTTACAATCAAACAGAACAAACAAGCAAGCAGACAATATTGGGCAAACATATAAGCAGCAGTCGAAACATGAATATAAAATTCAAAAAGTTAAACAGTCTAGATAATTTAAATTAGACGAATTAAATAGAAGATATTGGAGCACACCCCAATACACAAGGCAGCCAGACAGTAGAAGCCACTATGCGTATCCACCAATCTAAGATGAGCACGCACAGCAGCCACACGTACCGTCCAGCAAGCCAAGTACATTGAGAGCACGCACCCCTTTCCTGAAAGCCTGAAGACTGGTCTTACTGCGTAGTTCCTGGCTAATCTTGCCCCATATGTGTAGGAACAGGAAAATCACTTCTTAAGTTATAATGCCTATCTTGCTGAAAAAACATATTACATACATGCTCTGGAGCAAGTGAATTTTAAACCTTATACATTAAAATTAGTATATCTTGTAACCGTCTGTTCTGACTGGACTTGGAGAGTCTACCCTTCTCTAAGAGTTCCTCATACGTAGCATTCCTATCATTATATATAGCACGTAATGCCCGTTCTTGTACTCTTTCTAATTTTCGTGCATCTGGAGCTTTGCAGAAATGCCACACTATGTGACAATATGTTAAGTTAGGTAAAATTGCCGATTTATATAATTCTAACTTGGCTTCTCTGGGAATCATATTTCTAAGACGTACTAAAACACCAACTTTCTTACTTGCCTTTTTGCATATATCACTTATGTGAGCACTAAAACTAAGTTCATCATCTAATGTTGCTCCTAGTAGCTTCAAGTCTGGTGATGATTTAATAACCTGTTCATCAATCTTGACATTGATAGATGGACTGTCCTTATTTTTGTTCTTCCTGCCTAATAACATTAAATTGTACTTGTCATAATTTCCCTTCAAAAAGTTATCTTTGTACCATTTTGACATAGTGCGCCCCCCATCAGTTAAAAGTTGTTTCACGCAGTCAACTGAATATCCCTTTACATAAAGCTGATGATCGTCAGCGTACATTGACAAGCTTGCATTATTCACTATAGACGTCATATCATTTTGAAAAATGTTCCACGGTATGGGTCCAAAAGATGACCCTTGAGGGCATCCTCTAACAGCATCCTTCCAACTGCTCATGATTCCATTGAGTTTAACTCTGTTTTGTCGATTGGAAAAATATGATCTCATCAAGCTAAGTGATTCCTCTGAGAAGCCATATGCCTTTAGTTTATTTATCATGAGTGATGGATGTAGGGAATCGAATGCCTCGCTTGGCTTAGCTTTAAGGTCATCTGCCTTTTGTTTCCAATATTCTTCAATAGCTTTTCGTCTGTAGTTAGTAGCTTTATTTCTCCATATTCTCTTGAGCTCCCAGTTTTCCTCTGTTCTGCTTTGAGCGCATTGCTTAGCAAATTTCCTTTTCATTTTGATTGCCCTTTTCCACTCAGGTGTCATATATGGCACATCGACTTTACGAAATCTCATTCTTTTAGTGGGCTTCTCTACTATGGTGTTGAGAAGGGACTCCCAAAAAAGATACTTCTCATCAAGAGTATCAAAGCTATCCATTACGTTCCAGGAAGCACAAGATAAATCTTCATTGAGTTTTTCAACATCCAGTGTTCTGGTACTCCTAAATGTGACTACTTTTCTTTCATGCTGAGACACCCTCTCCTTCATAATCCCATACACCAGATGGTGGTCACTCATTTCTGGATTTAGTGCTCCACTTGTTTTAAAAAGCTCTGGCTTGTTTGTAAGGATCACATCCAGAAATGTTTCAGATGTAGGCGTAATTCTGGTCCTTGATTAGACACTCCAGGCCATAAACCTCCTCTAGACTGAGCAAAATTTTCCCTTCTGTGCGTTCTGGTCTTAATCTGTCAGGGTTCAAATCTCCAGTAAGTATGAGTGTGTTACATTCCATTGTAGCCCACATACATAGTGAATTAAATTCCTCTTCCAGTTTACGGTAGTAGTCGGTGCCAGTTGCGTTTGGGGCTCGATAAATACCAACAAACAACACATCATTATTGTTTATTGTTGCATTTATGGCCAGAATTTACAGTAATTTATACTGCTTAGGAAGCTTTACACGATGAGATACCATCTTTGATGAGAAATATGCCATCACCTATAGGATGGATAGAAAAAAAGGGTGGCAGTGGCCTGATGGCATATTTCTCATCAAAGATGGTATCTCATCGTGTAAAGTTTAACCGTTTTAGCTATTTATGTATTTTTTCCGCTCAAACCATTGAAGTTTGTACAAATATTTGAGGGATTTTAACCAAGTAAGAAACATTAGACTATTTGTGAAGTATAACTTACTTTGCTAACTTCACTATTTGACCAGTGAAACTATTTAAGTTAGTTATGCATTCATCCAACTGGACCATTTAAGCTAGTTTGACCATTTCAAGTACTTTAAGCTATAATGATAGCTAGTGCAATTTTTACATATAGTTTGTTTTTGCTACTCTGCCTATTTAACCAGTGGAACCAATCAAACTAGTTTTGACTATTTTAACTTCACCCAATTAAACTACATTCTAGCGTTGAACCATTTAAGCTAGTTATTCATTTCTTCAGTTGAATCATTTTAGTTTAACCAATAAAACTACCCCAGCTAATTGAGATATATTTTGAGATTAGCGCAGTTTAACATTTTTTCCTAGTTTGACTACTTAACTAGTTGAACAGTTAATTATTTTGACTGTTTTAACGTGGTGAACTAAGAGAGCTAGATTGTGCCGTTTGTGTCGTTGGACCATTTAAGATAGTAATGTATTTTGCGTGATTGAAGCATTGAAGCTGGTTTGACCATTTGATCTACTTCAACCAATTTATACAGTATGTGGATTTAGGGCGGTTTTCCTGCTTAAGCTACTTCAGGATCGATTAACCAGTCGGGCCAATTGAGAAAGACTGCACAGTTTGTGCAGTTGATCCTTATAAGCTTCTTATGCATTTTGTCCAATTGAAGCACT